TTTGTTATTCTATATAGATAGATTAGAACTTGACTTAGTTATAACACCTAGTTATTGTCAGATCCCTACCAAAGTGTCGTTTATGCGTAAAGCAAAATCCATCTTTGAAAGCAATCTTCGGTTTCCTTCTCTCTTTTTCCTACTATTTAGTCACAATACATATTGCAGTATTTTGTACATCCTTTGTGTGGAATGAACTCTACAACAAAACAAGGAATTACAGTTTACTCACCCCCAAAACTGGAAAAAGATACTTAATAATGAAAGTGAAACAACCAAAACAATCACTTCATATATACTTACAAGTGGATACATTTTGTATACAACTAGACAACTCTGCCTTCCAAAATAGTAAACAAACCTCATACAGTATGATGGAATGATGCAAAAGATAAAGGATAAAGAATTGGAGAAGAGGAATTTGTTGTCTACATCTATAAAAATAAAAAGTCTTTTTGAGTACCTGGCACTAGAGTCTTTGTTGGACCGCTCCAGCTTTGCAAGCCAGGCATTATTTTCCCTTTGACAACATGCAAAAGACAGGGTAGCTTCACCCGATACCTAGTCTACAAGCACATACATTCATCATCCCCCTTTTGCCCAAAAGAGGTGGAGGTTTTGACCCAACCCCACAAAAAATTGTTGGATTAACTTTTGAAAAATGACATTAGGACCAAAATGCATAGACCATTTCCAGGAGCTTCCCTCTCAATTAAGGGATTTCCCTTTGCTGAATTGTTTTCACCATGACTTCTTATCAGCTATTCCTAGATTGATCAATTTTCTCATTGAGTTTTTTTTTTTGTAAAATAGCTGCCAATATACTCCGAGATCATTCTCTGAAATTGACAAGAAGAATTAAGTTAGACAATTTGGTATATTTTCAAGAAATATATGATATTATTGAATCAAAGAGATAAAATAATTACCAAGAAGCTGACTATAGTATGGCAGCATCACTGAAGCTTGTTGCACGAAGCTCAACGTTCCTTAGATGACGAAGATGTAGTAGGATTTCCTGAAGAAGATCCATGCCTTTATCGCCTTTCTTCAGCGAGCTTACACAGTTGTTTAGGAACTCCCTATCTGCCTCAAGGGCTTGTAGCCTTTGATGGAGATGATCCAACTCTTGTTCCACAGCTAGCTTCTTGTTCTCTAAATCAAAGTTATGAACCCCATTGGCATTTAGTGTACCATCTCCATTTTCATCACTCATTTTGTCAAATAGAGGAAGAAGTCTCTTTCCCTTGGCATGATGATGTTTCCCATTCATTTCCTTCAAGAAACCATTGGCATGAGAATCTTCCTCTATATTATCTTGATATGAATCTTCCATCAGCCTAACATCCTCAAAATGTTTTGCATCTTCATCATCCAAGTCCAAGCTGACAAGCCTTTCCTCCAAAACCTTTAGCTGCTCAAGAATCGCCATTCTCTCTTCCTCCAAATTTATAACTGCACCAACAGGAGTGCTATGATTCATGCCGCTATCATCTTCCTTTGCTTCTTCTTGATTCAAACCAATAGAGAGTCCATCACTATCCTCAGAGGAGAATGTGCTACTGTCCTTGCTTCTCTTCAACATCCTCGTTGCCTCATATTCCAATAATCTTTTCCTATATGCTTCCAATTCTTTCTCTAACTCTTGCTTTTCCCTCTCTCTCTTCACCATAAGCTCATTCATTAGCTGCAAGGCTTCTTGATCGTACTCCGATTGTTCTTCC